AATAGGAGGAGATCCGACTACTGTTGGACATTGACATTGATTTCTGGAGCTTTTGGGATGAGTTTTGTGTGATACGAAAGTCCGGGAATATAATCTTGACAATGCAGCGAGCAGGGGGGCTGTTGGATGTACTTACAGCATTGACAGGTGATTGCAACCGAGGAACGTTCCGAGAAGATGCAGCGGGGAACTTTTGGGGTTCCGCAGTTGTGGTATATTGGGGGAATGGTGGTACCATCTTTGCCACATATTGTTGTTTCCTGGGTATACGTGTCTNGATGCGGCGGGTTACCACATCCGCGGGCAGTTTACTGTATTTTATCGTTGCCGGCAAACTCGCCGCGCGGTTCTTTTATTTTTGCCGTCTACAACTGCGCCGGGCGCACCAAGCTACTCAACATGGTGTGTGCGTCGAAAAAGAGTGTGTACATCGGAGAACTGCTGTATCCCAAGGCGCCCTGTACCCAAAGGCCTTGGGAAGGCCGGTCGCCTACAAATCTGTGTCATGCTGCTACTTCTAATCTATTTCTACACTGCTACTTCTCGTAGTGAAAGTCCCAGTGAAGAAATAAGTCGACCGCAACATGTTAGGTCAAATACGTGTAGTCGCTTAGTCTCACCGACTCCTCGCGACCTTGGCTACAAGCGGCGCGCGTCTCCACAGCTATTCGCATGGGGTGTTACGGCGGTTCTATCCCATGTAATAAAAAGCTCGTTGTCGTACTTCCAGACTGACTGGAACTCCCATCATACAGCAGGCTCACCACGGAGGAAATTCCCCCGTAGTTTATCGTGCAGCACACCGAACACCGACGGCGTTTGTTTCCGATTATTTTCCCCTCGTTTCAGGAGGGAAGTCGCGCAATCGCGAGGGCTGAACCCTTCTCGCGAAAAACGTAAGGGAGAGGGACAAATAGGTCGAGACCAGAGGACGAAACAAAACCCCGCATGTCGAACCTTCTGCGAGACACCTCCCCTGGCTGGTATGCCGACATGCACACGCCGAAACTTGCAGGCGGGATGAAAAAACACGTGCTGGACTCTTTGCTGACAGTCGATGGCTTAGAACAAGTTTGCACGCAGACTTCCGACAATATGGCGGCCGGATCCCAGTAGGACAAGAAACATCGCGCGGGTTCCAGCTTTGACAAAAGCAGGAGCTGGAACGTATCCCTCGGTTCTCGAGGATGCGCTGAACGCGCCCGCAACATTCGCGATAGCGCTTGGCCAACCCCTATATATTGATGGCAACAGTTTCAAACATCCGGACGTGTTGTATGGTGGCCATGATTGGTCGTACCCCAGAGACTCCTACAGCAAATCAAACCAACCAGTCATCCCAGACTCTTACATGCGGTTGGACAGGATGGGCGACAGTGACACTACACGCTTGCAGTAGAGAAAGCTCCACATCCTATCTCCAACAGTGAACTCAGAGAAAGATTCTCCATGCGTTCCGACGAGCTGAGGTGGCAAAAACAGGGGGCACTTCTCTCTCTCTCTCTCTTTCTCTCTCCCTCTCTCTCTGTCTGTCTCTTTCCGTCCCTCTCGAGTTATCCCTACTACACCGTCAATGCCGGTGTCATCACAATAACGTCGACGTAAACAAAAGAAGAGAGACTGACACCGGGGTTGAACCATGCGCACTGCGCACTTGGCCCCCCATGCTCAACCACGAACGCGTCAAAAACCTTCGCAGACAAGGCCTCTACTGCTGCAACAGCGGTACATCCCTCATCCTTCTACGGCGGTGGCCGCCCTATCTGTCACGGCGGCGGACGAATCCTCAGGCCCCTCGGCCCGTCATCGCCTCCAGGCGATCTAGTATCCCCGGTGCATCCCCGAGATGCTTGCACAGCCGATCGTACTCCCACTCTTCTAATCGCAGAGCGTGCCGGAGCTCGAACGGCCCCTGATTTTCCGGCCGGCACACCGACAGCAGCGAGCCCAACCCCGGCGTTGGGCGTAGGGTGGGGAGGGCACTCATGTTTTGCATGTCTCAGCTGTTAGACAAATGCCTCAGCTGATAGAAACCTGACCTCGAGAGGACTGAGCGTTTGTTCCTGCAGGACCGATAACGGATAGCCAATCGTTCCTTCCTATAAGGGTGGGGGTATTTAGTCGTTGGCGCTACGGGGGGGGTCCGTGGAGGGGGGGTATTGTCTGATTGCCTTGGTTTAAATCCGAACACAGAGCACCTCTCGAGACGGTAAGCGAGAGAGAAAGCAGGGGGGGTCGGACGATAGTTCACCGGACATCTTTCTAGGCGAGCCACCGCTCCGACAAGTGTTGGTTCCTACTGGCGTACCCTCTCCCGCCCCCCCAAGACTTGGAGGCATCTCTGCGTCACCTTGTGTCTGCAACGAAACGCTCATGGCGCGTGTAGGCCATCGCCTTCCAAAGCTTCATTTGTCACCCCTCCTCAATAAAACAGTGGCAGAGCTCAGGCACGGCTCACCTGCTTCGTTCTCTCGAGCGCCGTCATGTGCGCCCTGGTTCCAAGGGCCCGGCCGAGGTCTTCGATCAGGGTCCGCACGTAGAAGCCGCCCCCGCACTCCAGCTCCAGCCCCAGCAGCGGCAGCGGCAGAGCGGGGTCCGCTTGCCGGAGGGAGTCCACCCTCACCTGACGAGCTTCCCGCTCCACCTGTCCGCGGATACAAAGCGTTGCAAACATTTGTTGCGAACAATCATTCAGTGCAGCAGTCGTCGAGTTCGACGTAGCGGTTACGGTTGGTAAAAAACGTGGTGCGAAGGACGCGCACAACGTGAGTCGACCGTAGCCGAGAGGAAAGGAGTGAAGTTTCGCGCCCTACCTGGCACACCAGCGAGGGAGGAGGAGAGTGAAACCAGCGATTGTGTAAGCACGTGCGCGGGGGGCGGGGGGGGGGCGTACTCTCATGTTTTGCATTCCTTAGCGGTTAGACCATTGACCACGCGTCCTCGAGAGGACGGAGCATTGTTCCCACAGGACCGATCACCGATGGCCAATCGTTCCTT